AACAGAGGAACTGGGGAAAGATTACTGCCGTGGGAGAGTTAAAAGAGGTTACCCGTCCTTTAGTTAACGTGGGTGGAGGCATCAGCTGCGTGTCAGCTGATTCTGCTGCGAATCAGCTGTGTATTAGCTGGAAAGCAGCTGCGAATCAGCTGTAAATTAGTTTTGAATGAGCTGTTGATCAGCTGTTAAGATATTGATCAGCCGTGAATCACCTGACCAGTGATGACTAAACTGTGAATCACCTGATGAGTTGTGAATAAACTGTGTCAGCTGATCAGTACAAGCATTGTGTCAGCTGATCAGTACAAGTACTGTGTCAGCTGATCAGTACAAGTACTGTGTCAGCTGATCAGTACAAGCATTGTGTCAGCTGATCAGTACAAGTACTGTGTCAGCTGATCAGTACAAGCATTGTGTCAGCTGATCAGTACAAGCATTGTGTCAGCTGATCAGTACAAGCATTGTGTCAGCTGATCAATACAAGTACTGTGTCAGCTGATCAGTACAAGTACTGTGTCAGCTGATCAGTACAAGCATTGTGTCAGCTGATCAGTACAAGTACTGTGTCAGCTGATCAGTACAAGCATTGTGTCAGCTGATCAGTACAAGTACTGTGTCAGCTGATCAGTACAAGTACTGTGTCAGCTGATCAGTACAAGTACTGTGTCAGCTGATCAGTACAAGTACTGTGTCAGCTGATCAGTACAAGTACTGTGTCAGCTGATCAGTACAAGTACTGTGTCAGCTGATCAGTACAAGTACTGTGTCAGCTGATCAGTACAAGTACTGTGTCAGCTGATCAGTACAAGTACTGTGTATAACAATACTGTCATATGTCAAACTGTGTAATAAAGACATGTAAGAGAGGAGGCGCTCACACACACATTATATATATATATATATATATATATATATATATATATATATATATATATATATATATATATATATATATATATATATATATATATATAATATATATATATATTGATAATGCGAGAAGTCAGGAAAAAGCTTAAAATTTCACTATTTTTCACAGGTAAGGAAATAAAAATTTTTGTGAAAAAATTGGAATTTCCTAAAAACGTTAGAAAAACTTCGAAAATGTTAAAAGCTGCGAATATCAAGGTTTTTCCACTTCATATAAATGATCAAGATTTGGTAATTTTTCCACCTCTTAAAACGACGCAGCGGGATCACTGTAGCGAGAACACTTGATGTGCTAGAACTCTGTCTCTCCCGTAGCTCGGTTGGTAGCGCACTCAGCGCACACACTGAGGTCCAGTGGTTCGATCCCCGGTACGAGTAGAAATATAACGTGTTTCCTAAAGATACCTGCTGTCCCTGTTCACCTATCAGTAAAATAAGTACATGGATGGAGGGAGACTGGTGTGGGTCGCATCCTGGGGACAACATTGCCAGAAATGCTTTGCATAACAAGGGGTTTTCTATATAGTAGTACGTCATTGATGTCAGCTAGGCCTTAATACATTGTGAATGTACTTGCAGGAATAAAGATTATTATAACTTCCAGAGTTCTGGGTCAGTGTGTTGAATTCAGCGATCATGGCGGCTTCGAGACATCGACTTTTGCATAAATCATTCTCCTTCAGCAACAACCTGGCTTCTCGCTGTCACTGGACGTTCTTGTAAGTTGCAGCGAAGCATCCAGGTGACAGCCAGGTTGTGTCTGTAGTGTTAATGTAGTGGGCACCTCTCCTGCAGTGCTAATGTAGTGGGTACCTCTCCTGCAGTGTTGATGTAGTGGTCACCTCTCCTACAGTGTTAATGTAGTGGGCGCCTCTCCTGCAGTGTTACTGTAGTGGGCACGTCTCCTGCAGTGTTGATGTACTGGCCACCTCTACTGCAGTGCTGATATAGTGGCCACCTCTCCTACAGTGTTGATGTAGTGGCCACCTCTCATGCAGTCAGAGAGAGAAAATGTTGAGGGAAAACGTAGGCGTATAAATACTTGTAAAACTAGGTCACTCCTTTCTGAGGAACTGAGTTGCAAGTCCTATATGCTCTGAGGAAGAACTTTACTTGTTTGATCCGCTAGAAGGCATGCCTAGCGTGTCCTGGCACGGGTCGTAATGCTAAGCGTGTCCTGGCACGGGTCTTAATGACAACCGTGTTCTGTCACGGGTCTTAATCATACAGATAATCCGTCAAACCTTAAGGAAGTGCCCATTGATGCTGCTGCCCTTAATGAGGGAAAACAATGATGGTGACAAATGTAAATACAAGCTAGTCTTTTACTTGTTATATTTACCTACGAACTGCGTCTCAATGCAAGTTTTTGTAGTTTTCTTGGGAATATCTCAAAAAAAAAAAAATGAGATGTAACGAATCGAAACGAGATTATAACCTGCAGAAAGTTTAATATGGGAAACAATTTGATAAACCGTAATAATTAGGGTTTAGTACTAAAAATAATTACTTAATTCAGCTAACAGGGATCAATATATCAAGATCAGAGCACTGGGGTTAAACTTCAAACCAGCTTGTCTGCTTGCCTTGTATATTTATTTCTATTTTATTCTCTCTATTTTCTCTAATGCCTCTTTGTATTCCTTATTCTTTCTCTTTTCCATCGTCTTCCTCATTCTCCTCTTTCTCTCCTTTTTTTTCGCCCACCCAGCGTCGTACTTCTCTTCATTCTTCAGAACCCACGTATGTGTTTGGTCAGTAACCAATGAAGGGGCGAGGAGCAACGACTCTCACCCTCTGTACCAGTCACGACCTTAAGGCAAATTTCACCGTGTAGCGATGAGCCTAACAATGGTCAAACATCGCAGCTAACAATGGTCAAACATCACATTCACGTGACACTAGCAAACTGTAAATGAAGTGGCGCGGAAAACTAATAAAAGACACACACACATACACATTCAGGAATTAAGTCTTCAAACACTTATGAAGAAAAAGTGATAACGACGTAGATGGACCGGTACGCAAAAAAAAACCCGCTCTTGGGACACCAACTTATGACGACGTTTTCGTTCTTCAGTTGACTTGAAAATTCAAATTCAGATATTTTTTTTTATGCAGTACGAGGATAATGTAGAAAAGTAAGACATATGTGCAACAGTTAGATATCTTTATTCCGAAAAGTTTCGCCTACTCAGTAGGCTTCTTCAGTCGAGTACAGAAGACGTAGTCTTCAAGGGTTACGTTTTAGCGTAACACAAAGCCTACCCGAGTCAATAAACCCAGCATACCTGATTACTGACTGACAGTTATGATACTTGTGCGCCTTATATGCCGGAAAATACAGCAACTGAAATGGCTACTTGTTGTGTGCGCCTTATATGCCGAAAAATAAGGTAATTGAAATGGCAGTGACATCCTTTATCGGTACAACATTTCACGGGATTACATAACAGATATGATACCAACATGTACAACAGTCAGCGGGGATGCAGATGTCAAATACATCACGGGTGAAGGCAAGCAGCTGGACCACTCTAGCTCTCCTTTGTTGTAAGACAACGTGCGTTACGTGGATTGCTTTATAAAGTGAGCATGCTCGTCTTTTGTTTGGTGAGGTTTTTAAGATTTATGTTGATTATTCCAAGCAACTACGCTTAACTTTATAGTTCTGGAACAGTAGCTTGACTTTATCTCACGCTATTATGAATGAGAGGAAGTTGTGGTGTTATACACATATACGTTACTGATGTTATCCATCCTACAGGTAGATTTGTGATCCTGTAGACAAGTGGGCAAACTTCTAGCTGTCTAGATAAATGGTTCAGAGAACCGACAAGTGATAAATTAGACACATGTGCAACACTTGGGTATCTCTATTGAGGAAACGTTTGGCCATACAGTGGCTTCATCAGTCCAGCACAAAGAAAAACGGTAGAAAACGAGGACTAATTGCTTCAAGCTTCTCCTAGTTTTCTACCCAAATGTTGCACAAGTCTCTCATTCTTCAGGTACCTGGGTGTCAGTCGACTGGTGTGGGTCGCATCTTGGGGACAAAATTAACCTAAGCTACCAGAAATGCTCTGCATAACAAGGGGCTTTCTATATAGTATGTCACTGATGTCAGCTATGGTCTATATAAGTTGTATCATGTACTTGTTGAAATATTATTATTATTACAACTTTGGGTCAAATGTAACAACAATGAAGGTGATGTGGGACTGCTATAGGGTGGGGGATGCTGTGTTGACTGGGAGCCCTGTTAGTTATAGTTAAAGTATACTGACGTCTTGGTTCCTGACATTGCGATGTATCATGTCTGCTTTGCGTTTACAATTAAAGATCACGTGGAGGGAAAATCTGAGATATGTACTTCTGGTGATATGTTTGGTGTGATGCTTACTCTCAGGTCTTTTTCCTTGCACGATATTTGTAATGTCACTCTTCCTTATCATACCTACTCTGAAAGCTGCGTATAGGGCTTAATTCCACTGAATTCAGTTCGCTATAATTCACTACTATACTCAGACTAAAAAAAGGACTTCCTCACGTTTATGTGACTCTTCTAAAAATTTATTTTCCATCTACATGTACGTGTTCCTGGTCCTCGCATTTCAGTCTACCTCTATCAACACTAGCAATTCCTCAGAATATCTTGTATGTCGTAATCATGTCTCTCAACAGTACACCTCTCTTTCCCAGTCGACGGGGTTCAGTTCCTTTATTCTCTCCTCAATGTGTGTTTGTGTGCGTCTCTCTTTCCCCAGTGCCAACACTAACTGGTTTTCCCCACTCTGTGCCAAGAATGCCAAGCAAGGGACCAGCGTGGCACACTACTGGCGCCGGAGACATGTCCCTTCCCTCTGTCCAACCTCCCAAACATCACACACCAGCAGGTAACCCATCACTATATTAACAACCCTATCTTTACCCCCGCACCCACCACAGACTGAAGAAAAACTCTAATAAGCAATAATGATTACCCATTTCTTAGACGTCGAACTGAGAGGCAGCAAAGTTCGCTATTTATACTGGTGCGTCAAGTGCGTGGTTGTTATGGTGTGGTGGGCAGGTGTGACCCCTTGCTTGTGTCAGTGTCGGGAGAGCCGTCTTCCCGTAAGCTCGTTCCTCTCGGGGAGTCGGGTTGGAAAATTTGTCCGTGAAGCCGGGTTCACTTGTCCGAAAGTAGGGTTCATTAAATTATAAAAAAAATCTATAATTTGTCCAAAATTCGTGATTACCAAATTAATAAAAAATCGGGTCGGTTAACCCTGTCAGGGAGCCAGGATAACTGGCGTAGGAGTCAGGTCCACTTCAGTGCGCTCTCCTGCCGCAACACACAGCAGTCATCCCCCACGCGTCCACACATAGACACATCACTCCTAAACCCGTGGACTCACGTTCCTACTCCAAGACACCTTCGCGGCCGTTCTCCCAACTATACAAGCGCCTCGTACGAATGTAATCTCATTAGTAATAAACCGGTAAATCTGTATGGGCGTACGAACTAGCCTACAGACTTGTGACACAAACATTCTTGCGGGTGTACTGTACACTTGTGCCACAAGATAAAGAATTGCACCCTCTCAACAGGCAACAGAAAAAAAACATTTTACCGTTGGCGTATATAAGAAAATCAACAGGAGCTTCGGGCTGCTGCTAACAGTAAGTATGTATGTTAGTTCCTGTTTATAATTATTATTATTATTAGTGGGGAAGCGGTAAAGTGTTAAGAGTCATTAAGGTTGATTTGAGGAAGTGGATGGTGCCTCAAGAATCCTTCTACCCACGAGTCAATAACCCCAGGAAAACCCGAGTCAATAGCTCCAGAAAAAAAACCATGAGTCAATAAACCCAGAAAAATCCACTAGTCAATAAACCCAGAAAAACTTACGAGCCAGTAAACCCAGAAAACCTACTAGTCAATAAACCCAGAAAAAACCCACGAGTCAATAAGCTCAGAAAAAATCCACAAGTCAATAAACCCTAGAAAAACCCACGAGTCAATATATGTAGAGCATAATCAAGTCGTGTGTCGCTCTGTGTTGTTTCATGTTCTATTGTACAGAGCTTTACCAAACGACGTCCCGCTCCGCGTAGAGCTTCATACCTAGGGGCGCTATCACACCGAGCGATCAGTTTTTTAGAGCCGGGCCCAAGTTATAGAGCCCAGCCCCTGAAGCCACAACCAAGAGAGTACATAATACACTATCATATTAATAAAATTATCCCGCATGCCAAGAAATGCAGACCCGTCCACCGTATTTAGTGTGAGGGTAGAGAGCGGAGGATCGAACCTGCAGAACCACCGTGTGCACGCAGTATGATTCACACGGGTTTACAACTTTACGTGAGTGCAATAACGTGCTGGATTACAAACATCTTAAAGTAATGAAAATGTTAGCTTCTGTCCACATGTTAGGCAAGCAGAGAATGCTGAGAGATGCATGCAGGGTGTCTCAGGGGTCAACGCCCCCGCTGCCCGGTCCATGACCTGGCCTCGGAAATAAGATTTTGTTCGGATTTTTAACCCGGAGGGTTAGCCACCCAGGATAACGCAAGAAAGTCAGTGTGTCATCATGGACAGTGTATCGTATTTCCAGACACCACTCAAGTACAGTCGAAACGAGGGAGGGGAGGTGGGAAGGGGTGAGGGATGGAAGCAGGAGGGAAGGAGGGAGGCAGGAGGGAGGGAAGGAGGGAGGCAGGAGGAGGAAGGAGATGAAGACACGTCCACGATATGGAGGAGAGCGGAGGCAGAACAGACAACCTGTCCAGCATGCACAGGTTACACCTCGTAGTCAAAGACAGGCTGTTCACCAACACTCTTACAGTGTAAATGTACTTTTCACATCGTAGCAGCGTTCTAATCTCTGTCCACAAGCCCGTGCCCTCCTGCCCAATAGCATTGTCATTCTTTACCCGTGTTTTCTCCCATGTATAACATGGTCAGGTGCTATCCTACAATATCGTTGTTCAGACACACTCAAGTACATGCAAACATAGGGCAGGTTGCTCAGGGTTGACAAACTGTACGGGAGGGTGGTTAACTGAGGGTGAAGATACAGACAGTGAGATAAGAACTCTCCACAATACTTATGGAGCACGAAAAGCACACATGCACATCATGGTTAATGACTCACCTTCTGGTATAGGAATACAGGGCTCCCTAAAAATCTTACTGTTCGCCTTTTCACTGTACAAGTCCTAACCAACTCTGTGACATTCTACCCATTACTTCCTTCCTGACGGTAGTACTAATATTTGATACACATGAAGAATTAGTCACAAGTTGACTGAGCACATGCATGGTAATGAATCTTTTAGTCCAAGTTGACTCTCAGGTTAGAGCATAAACCTATGACGGTGGTCACTGATTAGGGTCACAGTATCCTGTAGTCACAGTGATCTCTGTAGATCAAGTGCACTGAAACAGTATCTTGTAGTCGACAGTAATAATGTATACGGTGATACTGAGGCACAGCGATTTCAACAGTGATTTTAGTCACGTGTCTTGTATGGTCACATGATCTTGTAGGTCACAAGTGATCTTTGTAGGTCACAGTGATCTTGTAGGTCACAGTGATCTTGTAGGTCACAGTGATCTTGTAGGTCACAGTGATCTTGTAGGTCACAGTGATCTTGTAGGTCACAGTGATCTTGTAGGTCACAGTGATCTTGTAGGTCACAGTGATCTTGTAGGTCACAGTGATCTTGTAGGTCACAGTGATCTTGTAGGTCACAGTGATCTTGTAGGTCACAGTGATCTTGTAGGTCACAGTGATCTTGTAGGTCACAGTGATCTTGTAGGTCACAGTGATCTTGTAGGTCACAGTGATCTTGTAGGTCACAGTGATCTTGTAGGTCACAGTGATCTTGTAGGTCACAGTGATCTTGTAGGTCACAGTGATCTTGTAGGTCACAGTGATCTTGTAGGTCACAGTGATCTTGTAGGTCACAGTGATCTTGTAGGTCACAGTGATCTTGTAGGTCACAGTGATCTTGTAGGTCACAGTGATCTTGTAGGTCACAGTGATCTTGTAGGTCACAGTGATCTTGTAGGTCACAGTGATCTTGTAGGTCACAGTGATCTTGTAGGTCACAGTGATCTTGTAGGTCACAGTGATCTTGTAGGCCACAGTGATCTTGTAGGTCACAGTGATCTTGTAGGTCACAGTGATCTTGTAGGTCACAGTGATCTTGTAGGTCACAGTGATCTTGTAGGCCACAGTGATCTTGTAGGTCACAGTGATCTTGTAGGTCACAGTGATCTTGTAGGTCACAGTGATCTTGTAGGTCACAGTGATCTTGTAGGTCACAGTGATCTTGTAGGTCACAGTGATCTTGTAGGTCACAGTGATCTTGTAGGTCACAGTGATCTTGTAGGTCACAGTGATCTTGTAGGTCACAGTGATCTTGTAGGTCACAGTGATCTTGTAGGTCACAGTGATCTTGTAGGTCACAGTGATCTTGTAGGTCACAGTGATCTTATAGGTCACAGTGATCTTGTAGGTCACAGTGATCTTGTAGGTCACAGTGATCTTGTAGGTCACAGTGATCTTGTAGGTCACAGTGATCTTGTAGGTCACAGTGATCTTGTAGGTCACAGTGATCTTGTAGGTCACAGTGATCTTGTAGGTCACAGTGATCTTGTAGGTCACAGTGATCTTGTAGGTCACAGTGATCTTGTAGGTCACAGATGATCTTGTAGGTCAAGTGATCTTGTAGGTCACAGTGATCTTGTAGGTCACAGTGATCTTGTAGGTCACAGTGATCTTGTAGGCCACAGTGATCTTGTAGGTCACAGTGATCTTGTAGGTCACAGTGATCTTGTAGGTCACAGTGATCTTGTAGGTCACAGTGATCTTGTAGGTCACAGTGATCTTGTAGGCACAGTGATCTTGTAGGTCACAGTGATCTTGTAGGTCACAGTGATCTTGTAGGTCACAGTGATCTTGTAGGTCACAGTGATCTTGTAGGTCACAGTGATCTTGTAGGTCACAGTGATCTTGTAGGTCACAGTGATCTTGTAGGTCACAGTGATCTTGTAGGTCACAGTGATCTTGTAGGTCACAGTGATCTTGTAGGTCACAGTGATCTTGTAGGTCACAGTGATCTTGTAGGTCACAGTGATCTTGTAGGTCACAGTGATCTTGTAGGTCACAGTGATCTTGTAGGTCACAGTGATCTTGTAGGTCACAGTGATCTTGTAGGTCACAGTGATCTTGTAGGTCACAGTGATCTTGTAGGCCACAGTGATCTTGTAGGTCACAGTGATCTTGTAGGTCACAGTGATCTTGTAGGTCACACAGCCATCAACTCAAATAAAATAAAATAAAGTTTTATTGCTTTGCGTAGTTACACTTGGGTATCTTTATTAAGGAGACGTTTCGCCACACATACGCTTCAACAGTCTTACACAAAGAAGAATGGTGAAGATCACATTGATGAACTGATTACATCGACTCCAGGCTGAGGGACTGATTACCTCAAACTCCTTCTGATCTCCATCATTCCTTGTATAGGACTGATGAAGCCACTGTGTGGCGCAACGTTTCCTCATTAAAGATACCCAAATGTCTAAATTTACCAACTTGTCGGTTCACCGAGCCATTTATCTACATACAAAGTTTAACTGACATAATATACTGTTCAGAACAGAGAAGACAATAACACGGAGATGTGTTTCGGGCCATAATATCTACAACAAAATTAAGCACTGTACAACACAAGTAACGACGACATCGACAATAAAAATAAGGAAGAAAAATACTAGACACGCAAATACTGTAATACCGAGTTAAATTAGCCGGAATATACTGGAGTATGGATTAGCTGTGTCACGGGCCACTAGTACACAGGTTGTGTCACGGCCCACTAGTACACAGGTTGTGTCACGGGCCACTAGTACACAGGTTGTGTCACGGGCCACTAGTACACAGGTTGTGTCACGGCCCACTAGTACACAGGTTGTGTCACGGCCCACTAGTACACAGGTTGTGTCACGGCCCTCTAGTACACAGGTTGTGTCACGGGCCACTAGTACACAGGTTGTGTCACGGGCCCACTAGTACACAGGTTGTGTCACGGGCCGCCTAGTACACAGGTTGTGTCACGGCCCACAGTACACAGGTTGTGTCACGGGCCACTAGTACACAGGTTGTGTCAGGGGCCCATAGTACACAGTTGTGTCACGGCCCACTAGTACACAGGTTGTGTCACGGGCCGCTAGTACACAGGTTGTGTCACGGCCCACTAGTACACAGGTTGTGTCAGCGGCCCACTAAATACACAGGTTGTGTCACGGCCCTCAAGTACACAGGTTGTGTCACGGCCCAACTAGTACACAGGTTGTGTCACGGCCCATAAGTACACAGGTTGTGTCAGGGCCCATAGTACACAGGTTGTGTCACGGCCCACTAGTACACAGGTTGTGTCACGGCCCACTAGTACACAGGTTGTGTCACGGCCCACTAGTACACAGGTTGTGTCACGGGCCGCTAGTACACAGGTTGTGTCACGGCCCACTAGTACACAGGTTGTGTCACGGCCCCACTAAGCACACAGGTTGTGTCACGGCCCACTAGATACACAGGTTGTGTCACGGCCCAACTAGTACACAAGTTGTGTCACGGCCCACTAGTACACAGGTTGTGTCACGGGCC